TGCTGAACAGTATGGGACAAATGGGGCTGCGAAGGCACTGCTGAGAGCTCTTGGGAAATACCAAAGAGATCAAAATTTCAAATATTAATGAAAGCATGGTGCCTTTCATTTCAGTGGGAGCTGGGGAAGAGGAGGCACACACACCAGATGAGGATTTGACCCGGAATTTGCAGCTTGGAAGAGTTACTTTGAGCAATGACTCACAGTTGTAAAGCTCCAGGAAATGTGTTAACAATTCCCAGGCTTTATGTAGGAGGCTGCATTCCTCTGAGCGTGAGAGATGGGTACATGGAAATGACGGGCTACGCTGCTCTGCAACCTGACTCACAACTTGGCTGTGGCTCTGAGGAGGAGTCAGTCACCTACTGCAGATCCAGTCCCAGCAGGTGGGAGAGCAGCACCAGGGGAGGAATGACGCTGTCGGGAGAATAAAAGACTCGCCACAGCATGGCTGGGGAGAAATAGCTGAGTGTGACAAACCCCTTCTGTTCCTTTGGGGAGTGATAAGATAAATAGAAAGGGAGGGGAGGAAAAAAGTTGGAAGCCTGGTGTGATGGCCAAAGAAAAAGAACTGAGAAGCAGAGGTGGAGTAGAGCTGAACAAAATATGCAGGGGCTAAAAAATGCTGTTTAGGAGGATGCTGAAATGTTTTGCAAATTTCAGTCAAATTCCCCAACTAGTTCAGGCTGATAAAAAAAAAGACAAAAGGGTACACTCAGATGTTTCACGTCAGAGATTCTTCACTTGGCAGCTCAGAAGAGCAGGAGGGGAAAGAGAGCATGGAGCTGGGTACTGGTACCACTGCTTCTCTTTCCCATTGTGTCTGTTTCGTGGCAAATTTGGGGATTTTGACAGTTTGAAACCAGAAAGAAAAGAAAGAGCTGTTAATTCAAAACACAATTGCTAAGGAGGTCCATGGAAATGTTTCATTTTGATAGCATTGACTGGGGAGATGTGTTCTTTGGAAGTTTTCAACTGTAGAGAAGCAAAAGCTACCGACTCTGAGCTGGCCATTGCATGAGAGGACCCTTTTTAACACAACAGAAGCAAGCACAAGCTAGCTGTGACATTTGGGAAACAAAATTGAACAAGAACAGAATCCCATGCCCACTCTAAGGGAAGCTGAGCCCACCACGGTGGGCGAGGGCTCCCTGAAGACAAGAGTACCCAGCCCAGGTAGGTGTGGGGTTAAGGTAATTAGGATCTTCCCACAGACAGACTTGGAACTTGCCATCTGAGCCTAGAGTATATAATATCAGGGAAGATACTATGGTGTCTGCTTACCTCTTTTATTTGGCTCATCTTCTGCTCTTTCTGCAAGCTGCACACTTGCTTTCGGAGACGCAGGTTGTGCTCCTGGAGCTGCCCGATCTTCTCAATCAGTTGGCAAATATGTTCCAGGTATCCCAGACCGGATCCCAGGGCTTTGCTGTTACCTTGGTTCACCTGCAATGACAATACAGCTTGGACCACGGAGTAACAGCAGAGCAATCCTTACCAGCAGTTGGGAGCCCAGCATACCCTTTACAGTCATGTGGGCTGTGGTAAAAACACTCAGGTGTCCTCTTGCAAGGGGCTTTGGTTATAGCCAGATCTGAGCTACAGCATCCCTTGCTCACAGCTCTTTTCTGGATTACCGAGCAAGATGCTCCATCAGAAGGACTTTTCCGACTGATCACAGGCTGATACAGAGGAAAACCTCATGACAGCCTGTTTCTAGTTCTACCTCACAGGCTAATTTTTGTCTTTTACTGGCCATGGCACTCTTATAAACATAGTCTTACCGTATGGTATAGATGGCTGGGATTAGTATGGTTCATTTAGCCCATAGCCCTCAGTGCAAGTCATGCTTATGAGTACTGAGGCTGAGCTTGGCTCCTACCCAAAGGCACATACCTGTAAGTTGCAGTGATTTGCTGCTTTGTGACCAGCTTGGGGTACATTTTGTCTGCCTTTGGCAACCTGCAACCACTACGGTACGGCTGAATTCAGACCCTCATCACTGGCGGGTCAGTAAGAGGGACATGTGCCTGAATTAAGCTGCCAAAGTGAGCGAATGTCTTTCCACTGGTCCTTGGTAGATCCCACCTTACAACCATGCTGTTACTTTCCCAGCCATTAAGAGATGCCTGAAGAAAGCCTGCAGGATCAAGCTTGCCGTCTGGCTGCGGTGGGATACTCCGTACCGCTGGTCCCTCCCTGCCCGGGACCTGCAGAGTCTCACTGCTGCTCATCCAAGGCCAGTGCTGGAGACAGACGGTAATCCTGCGGCAGAGGAAAGGCCACGGAGCTTCCCAGCCTCCGGCTCCGCACCTCGCCGTTCCTGGCCCCAGGACTTCCCCGTGCACAGCGAGCATCCTCGCCGCCGCCGCGAGCGGACTCTGCCGAACGTGCTGCTGACAAATACACGCAGAGGCTCACTTCCAGCTTGGCGCTGCCTGCTGATGTGCGTGTGATATCAGTAAGTAAAATAAGCCTCGATCTTTACAAAAGCAGTGCTCTGAGTTTATCTTACTTCAAAAAATAAATTCTCTCTACAAAAGCAGGAAGCTTACTCTGTCTCCTTTCCCACAACAATCTACATTTTTGGGGAAATGCCAGCCTTGGGACTCTTCCTGTCTTTTCATTATGTCAGAAAGCTCATGGTGTGTTCAAAAATAATCAACATTAGGATTTACTTCTTTTTAAACAAATGATGATACAATGTTATTTATAAACAGGTATTATTATGTCCAGATGCTTTTGTGTCTGAGGCTGGGACAGAGGTCACATGAAATCGTGAAAAACTGCGATGACTCTAAGCTAACCAGTCATTCACATTCATGATTTTTATTTTCCTCTTGGGCAGAGCCTGCAGAAGTGGTGGCAAGACAGAGGTTACTCGGCCATAAAACTGCGTCCTTAGTATGTCTGTGCAGCGGGAAGGGGCACAGCCCCTGGACCCTGAACAAAGCCTATGTGGTGTCTGCCAGGAAAAACTTGAATCAAAAGCACCGTAACTGCCATATCTGAAAGCAGCTAGGGATTTCGGGGTGCCCAGCTTCAGAAGCATGATTTTTAGAAAGTACATGAGTATCAGCTTCTGCAAACGTAGCTGTTTTGAGCTGTCCCAGAATGAGTAGTCATTTTTTCACACTGTCCCAAAACAGGTGGTCAGAAGTTCCTCATCATCCTTGGAAAGGCAGGCTGCCGCTCCGCACGCTCTTTTAGCATTTAACAACCCCCCTCTCTGCCGGCGTGCTGTCGCAGTGGCTGTATGGCCCTAAGGAGACAGTGAGCCGAATCCAACCCACCGCAGCTGCAGAAACGCAGGGGAGCCCGCCCGCCGGAGGCCCCTCTTCACAGCCAGCCCTCAGAGGCTGCTCAGGCCAGGCAGTTGGGGCTATTTAATAGGAAATTAATTTGCATTTTATTGAAGTGGTCCCAGCAAGCGCAAATGAGCAAAAGGCAAACCGGGCAGAGCCTGCCCACCCCTGCGGGCCAGCCACCTCTGCGGTCAGCGTGCAAGGGTAGAAGCTTTTAAGGGGGATGCTTCACCTCGCTTGCTCTGCCACAAGGCCCCGTTAGCATCAGGATTGCTCAGGTATGGCAGGCATTCCATAGAGAAAATTTGTGTAATTTAGCTGGTTGTCCCCCAAACAATTGCTCAGAGAGGGCTTCTCTAGGGACCTTTCCAGGACTTTCTTTTCCATAGACTGGAAATACCTAAACAGCCCTCGCTATCTTCTGGTCATGCCAAGTGCAGCATAGAAACTGCTCTGTCACATTCTGGTCTAAATATTTTCCTCTCAGCACCTGTTAGTTTTGTGCTAGCAGTGGAGGGTGAGCAGCCATAGAAAAACTGCAAACGTTTTCCAGGATGAGTCTCTTCCAGTCTCTGTTCTCCCACTTGAAGCTTCCCGAAACATTCACCTAAGGGGACTGAAATTTTTCCCATTCCCCACCTGGGGATGGTCAAATAGCATTGGAACAAAAGCCATGTACCCATCTTTGAGTTGATGAAGCCTATGAAGAAGGAAAAACATCTCACCTAATTTTTTGAAAGTGAAGATGCAGAGGCTCAGACAGACACAACTTATGAATCGGATGGTTAAAGTTGCATTAGGAAAGCAACAACATGATGTATAAATAGGTGCCAGATCTTGCTTTCAGGTACATCAGACTGAACCAGACTCTCAGCTGGAATAAAATGGTATAAGAAAAGCTGTACTGCACTGAGTTATTCCCACTAAGGTTTTGACCCTATGGAGTTAAGGTGCGCTACACTGACTTTACACCCATTTAACTAAAAAGGTATCTCTGCCCTTGTGAGTGCTCACTTAGTCAACTAAGTTTTCGGGACAGGTCTTTCAGTATTTGTAGCCCTGACCAGCTGGCAATAAACCACCACACTTGTGCTGGCCCACAGATTTCTTAGGAAGCCTAAAAATACAGGATCAAAACCTGCACTGGGAGCTTCAGCTCTTATCTAGAGCCCTCCAGTCAGTATTTTGCCTGGTGTAAAATCACATTTTTCTGCTGAAGCCACTGGAGTTGCAGAGCTGGGAGCCTGACCCTGTTCCTGTGTACATGTAGCATCGTGCTCACTGCAGCAACTGAGCACTTACAGAGGTTTGAAGTTCAGTGGGAGCTGCAAGACCGACGGTTATTTTCAAGCCTCTTGTCCAACTGAGGTATAATCAAAATCTGCATTTCTGATCATCTAGGCAGCACTCTGTCCTGCCTCATCTCAGCCATGATCAGTTACTCTGATGTCTGTGGTGGGCTTTGCTTCAACTGGGCTCAATGGGAAACTGTCCTGGGCTGGACCTGGCAGCAGGAGCTGAGGCTGGTGGGCAGGACTAGCTTGCAGGTGAAGCTTTTCCTCGTTCGGATGAGAGCTCGCTGAGGTTCCTTGCACTGACTTAGGTTTCTGTGCTTCATAGAATGCTCTTTACTTTCTTTTGTGGATACTTTTGACTTATACAACGCTCCATCCTCTCATGAATCCCTCCCTGCCCGCTTCCGCCCTGTTAGCATGGCCAGCACGGAGGCAGTACGCTCACTGCGCCGACAGCCAAGGAACGCAATTACACACCCCGCATCATGGGCTTGGAGCAACTGATTAGTGACGCCACAGGCTGAGCAGGAAGCATTTGTCACTGGAAGCTGACAGCACCAAAAGGCTCGTGAATAACAGGAAAGAGGGGGACCGTGCTGTATATTTCTGACGGCTCCACCCTGCTGCCCAGGAGGGGCTGTGCTTGCTGATAGCTTCTGGTTTCCTCCCAGCGGCACGCACGGGCTGCAGGGCTGACCATGACAGGTTGCTCTGTCATCCCCCTGAACCGTACCGTGCTCTGCAGGGAAGTGTTTTGACTGCTTTGGCCCGGGATGATTAGCATCGTGTGAATCATGTTGGGTTTTTTCACTTAGTGATGACGATGCTCCCACCCCATCTCTTCTTCTAGGGGTCTTGGGCTGACTTGAAACGTCAATTTTATAGAGCGTGAGGAATTGTTTGCAAAGCAAAAGCATTAAAAGCTATGTATCTTCAAACTGACCCCAAACATTTAATTTGGCTTAAAAGGAAGTGCTTTTATTTGGGCTTCAAAGTTCTTTCACTTGCTGTTTGACAGCTTCCACTTTCTTTCATCTTTCTAAATGTAGGCAAATTTCACAATAGCGACAGCTTAAAACAAAAGATCAGAAAGCTTTGTTTAAGGAACGCCAGACTGAAATGATGTGATGTATATTTTCAGCCAAAGCCGTTCACCAAATGAATCCAAACGGTCAAAACATTTGGTCCTTTCTAGTCTCTCTTTTTCAACATTTTCCTTCCTGTTCTCTTGAAAGTGGCCTCAGCAGTGAGGGAGGCCAGGAGGACATCAAGGCACATCCTCATCCGGAGACTGAATCCTTGCTCGGCTGTGGTGTGCCGGTAAGCACCGTGCTGTTGGTACGGCCGCAGCCAGCCGGGCTGGCGAAATGCCACTGCTCTCCTCTTACTCGAAAGTTATATTCCCCAAACCAGCAACAGAACTGAGGGAGTTGCTGTCACCTATAATTAAATAACGCTCTCACCTGGCATTATATAGAGACACAAGCGTGCTTATACTGGCTTATATCAACTGAATTGATTCAAGGGGGCAATTTGGTTCGCCATGTTCTTTGCCAAGCAGAGTAGGAACACCCTGTACTGGCCTGCTGCTTTTCAGGGAACGTTGATTGCGTTTCCAGGGGTATCTGAGTCCCTGAGACCACATCAGGCCAGACAAGAGACTGGCTCCTAGGTACCATGTTGTGTCTTGGGCAGGTTACAGGCACATGTGAAAACCACAGAGTGAGCCTGGAGCAGAGCCTCAGCTGGGGTGAACCACGATGCACCCCTCAGCTGTACAGGCAGATGATCATCTGGACATCGTTTCTGAGTGGGTCTCGCTCTGTCCTGCCTCTGTTGTATGATAGTGAGGACAGGTCAACCTTCTGCAGAGCTGGGGAGGGCAGAAGGCTCTGCAGCTGCAGGAGGTTGTCCCTGAGCTCTGAGGCACGCAGCATAGCCGCAGCCGCAGGGCTGTGCAGCAGCCATGGGCATTCCTTGCCCCAGCCAGCTTGGGTGCTACCTGGCTCTTGAGATACAGCGGCCTGGAGGTGCTCTGTGAAGAGGGGCAAACTTCCCCAGCATCTAGGTCACAGCTGTATTTATACAGCTTGAAAAACAAACAGAGAGAAGTGCTCTGGGGCACAGAGCTTTAGGACTCAGCCAGTGAGGATATTAAAAAGAAGGGGAGATAAGCCACCAAGAGCTTCATTTCCTCTTCGGCTTCTTTCTAATTTATTCTCTTGTTTATTTAAATGCTCCGCTTTGGGAAACTGAGGCTCCATTTCACAAAGGATTGAAAGGAATTTCACGGGCAGCCAGAGCTGTCAGACAAGATCAAGCTGGCTGCAAACCCTCCAGAGCGCGACAGAGAATTTAGGTAACTTTTTATAAAGTCTCCTTGTGGTCAAGCTCTCCTGCTCCGGTCCCTTTTTGAACTCTCTGCCAAAAGGCCAGGGCGCTGTCTATTTGGGAACCGTGCAAAATAGACATCTGTCTTCTGCCGTGTGTGAGACAGCTCTTGGGGAGGAAGAGGCTGCTCAGCTGGTTCGTGTGTTGCTTGTGCTGCCTCGATATGCAATGTTAACAGAGATGGGTCATCTCTGACCTTTCTCCCTGCTCAGGAGGGTTTGGCGTGCTGGAGAGGAAGGCCATCGCCTGATGGTTCAGGGCCTGGGCAGAAAGGTCATGGCGAAATTATATGCACAGAACACAGCACTTGTCACTTGGCTTCCTCCCACCCATCTCCCGTTCCGATTCATCACTATTACTGCAATGAACGCCCTTGAAAAGAAATCCCCGTTATGCACCGTTTGATGTTTTCGGCGTGTCTGTGCGACCCTCTTCACCGAGCCTGCCCCTCTCCTTTCCCTGTGCCCACGGGGCTCTCTGTCCCTCTGCCAAGAATCAGCTCCCCCGTTAGATTTTTCCTTCGCTGGTTGATGGAAGCCACCGCGGCGGGCCGGCAAGGCGGCGGCCTGTCTGCGTGTCGGCAGCGTGGGGCTGCAGGCAAAGCACTGGGCTGCCTGCTTGCCAGCACCCGCTTTGGGAGAAGGTGCGCAGAAGGCGCGCTCTGTTCTCCTGTCACTCGCGCGGTGTACTCAGCAAGGGGGATGGAAAGAGTAGGACAAGCTGCTGAAAATATTACGTCTTTGCAGTCCGGTCAGTCTGGGAACACAGGAGTTTCCATCACAGCTGTGCTAGAGGGTTAAAATGGGATCTCCGGCCCAGCAAAGATTTGAATTTGTGCATTACTTCCCTGCTCACTCATTATTCGAGAGAGCCGGCTCAAGAGGACAGGGCAGGCCCGGACAGGAATGAGCTACCCCTTAGACAAGTTCTTTCCAAGCTTTGATGCCCTGACAGCAGTCCAGCTGTTCCCAGGAACAGGAATAACCAGACCTTCAAACAGAAACTGTGTTCTGATCCCCGTCCCATGTATCAGAGGGTGATGACTACCTTCACAATCTTCATTTTAAGACCAGAATGAGTAAATTTTCTAATCTAGGACTTTTTTCAGATCTTTATGAGCCACTAGTCATCCTTACCCAGACCAAATATATGTTAATAACTTCAGAATTTCACTGCTATGAAAAGAGCTCTTAAAAACATATTGCCATGATTTGCTGCTTGCAGTAGTTTCAGGGGAGACTGTCTAACTCAGATGTGTCCTAGTTCATGACAGACAATAGGACTTGAACCGTGACTGAGGTATTTGGACAGGCCTAGCCATAAAATTCAGTTTGGGTGTTTCTTACCTCACTCAATCTACAGCATTCATCCATGTATTCATCCAGACTGTCGCTTGTGGGGTATTTCTTCAGCTGATGTCCATGGATCTGAAGGTCTTGCATGCTGCCAAAGTTCTCTGGGAAATTGTCAGCAATTGTCTTTGGCTCTTCTATAGGACCTGGGGTGGGAAGAGTGCTTTCCCTGGGAAGGTCTGTCTCTGGGGTAGGTTCCTTTTCCAGAGATTGCCTTTCGCTCTGGTCAAAATGTTCAGCATGACTTTCTTCCTGAGGGACACTGAAGTCTTCAAGGGAAGCTGTAGGACCCTGCACAGCATCTGCCTCCTGGCTGTAGTACTCAGCTTGCTTTTCGCTCTCCGGATCTTGGTGGCTGACTTTTCTGGCACGCTCTTTACAGGTTCTCATTATCAGATGGTCAATTTCTGGAGAAGAAGAGGTGCTAAGCACACCCGAGTCACAAAATGAGTCTCTGCTGTGAAGCACAAAGCTCTTCTCTGAGCCCGTCGGGGTGGATGGAGAATTAGCCCCGCTTGGCAATTCAACCCCTGAGTCCTCAGATTCAAATTTGGAGAATCTGTGAAGTTGGCACTTGGACTCGAAGGTGCTGAGGTCAGGCAGCGTGGCTACATAGTCTGTGCTTGCCGGGGCATCTACATAGTCTGGATCTGCTGGTGCTGTCACTGCATTCGGACTTCCCTGGCAGTCCGGTGGGAGGCTGACGCCGGGGAGATGGGACTCTTCTGTGCAGGCTGTGTCAGCTGGAGCCTCTGGGATTAACCCGGGGTTTTGAATTCCTTCATTGCTTAGTATCTTCATGTGTGTTAGCACAACTTTGTCCTCAGCAGGTGGGCTCTTCTTACCTGCTTAAAAGAAAACAAGGAGAAGGTCACAAGAAGCTACAAAACTCAGTTTATAGCGCATCCCCTGAGGGATGTGAAATGTAAAACTGCCTATAGTAAGGTGGTAGAGGGAGGCAGCCCCCATTTGTTTTTCTTGAGCTATATGAACCTTTCTTGTCTGCTTTCCTACAACAGAAGTGTTGTATTTCGTAGACCCGGAGTCCTTCAGGAGGCGTCACAAATGCACAAAGAGTTCTGATTTAGTAGTTAGGTAGCAAACAACACTTGTAGCCAGCTAACCTTTTAGTGATTACCTGTGTACAGATGCAGAGAAGTACATATTCTTTCAGCATGACAGACATTAATTTAAGGCTAAAATATTTCCTCTGATTAAATGTCGTCTGAACTAGCAGAAAAAAAGGGTAAAATGAAATTGACTTTCTGCAGGCTTAAGTGAATTTTGGGTTGCAACAAGTAATTTGCAAGATGTTTGGTATTCTCTGCAGTAGTCTCTGCACACATACAGGTGATGAAAAGCAAGTTCTGATAGGGAAAGTAAACGAGGCACTGTAGATCCCTGTATGGTTTTAGCTATGAAGTAATTTCTTTAAATGAACTCTTACCTCCTTTGTGAAGAGAAAGGGCATGGGGGGAGCTTTGTTCATGAGCTTTTTTGCACATGGACAAAGACAACTTATTTTCACATCACAATTATTTCACGCAGTAATGTGGTAGGACAGTCTCTCTGGACGAAAGGTTCATCTACATGAGTTGTAGAACTGCCCCCAGGTTTTCTTACTGTTTTTCTGAATCTAATAGTTCACAGTGCAGACTTCTGGTTCACACTGGTATGAGTGACAGTGAAAAGCTCTGCATCCACCCTTTCGCAAACTGCAAATCTGAGCTCCAAATCCATCTGTTCGTAGACTTGGAACCAGGAATTGCTGCAGTACAAAACTTCAGTTTCTCTCTTATCTTTTCCCTTATTACTGCCTGACCCAAAGCACCTCAGAGGGCTACAATGCATACACTTTTCAGGATATCTTACTTCCTACTTCATTTCCTTTCATTCCCCTCTCCTACTTCCTTCCTCTTTTGCCTAATACCAAATCAGCATCTGCTTCACAAACTCACTGCCAGCAATGTAACTATCCCTAAATAGGTAGGGAAGCCTGAGACCCCCCCACCAGCAGTGGAGTGGGGAGAGCTCCGCTGAGCAGTCCTCCTTCATGGTAACCCAGAAAACTCCCTGTTTCAGAAATAACCCATTTTCCAGCCTTCCCGGCTCCAGCTTGCTTTCCGCAATGTCCACAGACAGGGGAGACTTTCACTCATTGATGAGGCCAAGCTAGCTATTACATGGATCATCTTCTACTTTATTTAGATTCCTTCTATTTGATCTTGAGAATTTCTTGGGATAGCACTGAAACATGCCCTTTACTGTCCATAGGCGGCCACAAATTTAATAGTTTACACTGGATTTTCAAAAGTGCTGTCAGTGAGAAATAATCCTATCTGATGGGCTTTTTAGGGCACTTGGGGACATAGTGCTTATAAACCCATACAGAAGATCTTGTTTATCGTATACAGAATTGCACCTGCCTCCCCTTGGCAGGATTCACAGGCATCTCTCCATTGTAAAGAGCCACATTTGGGACAGCCAGTGCCAGACCGTCAGCAACCCAACATCAGTTCATTGCTGTGATGGGGGACAAGAGAAAGACATTGCCCATGGAAACGCCCCAGGAAAGCTCATCAAGAGCTGCCTGCGCGGGGCTGGGTAACGGCCCTTCCTCCTCTTAGGGTGAGCGCGGTGGACCATGAACTGAGGACAAGGACTAGGAAGCCTGGTTTGCAGCTTCATGCACAGCAAAATGCCACCTGTAAGAGGCAGCTCAGTGCCCGGTCTTGGAAGGAGGAGGTGGAGCTGAGTCCTTACTGATTTGTAACGAGGGACCTACCTGCTCAGCTGCAAACACCTCTCAGCAGCGAGAGGCAAAGCATTGTATCTGCATGAAAAATAGAAGGCTAACAGGCTCTTCTGATGGCATCACCACCCCAGACGGCATGACAAAACCCCTGAGAGACAGGAGGAGAGCAGTTGCTGAGAGCTGCACTTTCTTTTTAAGAACAAATCATACAGCTGTCACTCGAACCAGGAATTACTATATGCAATGGTAGTCCCTTCCCACGGACTCTGATTGCCTTCACTTATTAATCATGTCTTGCTTTCCTTCCATTGGAGATTCTCTCACTGTCTTTCAATCTGCTCCTTTTTTTCTTGCTTAACCGGTTTCACCCTGGCCTACACAAATATTTCTTTGTCTGAAATCAGGAAGCAGCATATTAAAATGAGGTCTTGCTGTTTACAGAAGGAGATGTCAGGTGCTTTAGTTCATATCTTTTATGACTACAAAAGCTACAACATGTACCAGAAAGTTTGGTTGGGTTAGTAAAAATAAAACATAAGGAGAAGAAATCTCTGACCCCCTGCACGAGGGTCCCCTCAATGCCAACAAATCCAGCGCTGAGAAAGTACTGTGCTGCAGACAACACGGTCCTTTGCTCTCCCCATCCTCTGGTCACTTGCAACATAAAGTGGTTCCACAACAATTTCTTGTTTATTTGTTCTAGGCTGCAAACCATTGATCTCAGCACTGGCAGGTCCTGGTAACCAGTGTTTGAGCGCTTCTGATTTATCCTCCCAACCCCTTGCGATGATGCAAAATGTTATCACCCCCTCCACAAGTTCAGAATGGATGCCAAGGATGGCAGGATTTTGCAACACGCTTAGGCACCTTGTCCTCATTCATTCAATGGATACTTTCCTATGGTCAATGATGTCATTTGCGCTACAGCGGAGGGATCTCCCATGATTAAGGCAGTGACCTGAAACTCAAGTTTTTCTTGCTGCACCTCACTGAGGGACTAGTCTCTTCTTCTTCTCTGTTGACTGGGTTATGGAATCAAAACCATGGATTTTCCAAGAAATAGATAGTTTCTGCTACGGATTTTGAAAGAGGTATACAAAAATGCTCCGTTCTTTCAAGCACTTCAGGCACATTGCCAACAAAACCAGAACTCTGCAATTAAAGCTCATCCGTGCAATTACCGAAAAGAAAAAAAAAAAAAAGCACAAAAAACCCAAACCTGAGCCAGATCCACAGCTGCTATAAATTAGCTCATTACCAGGACCCCTAACAGAGTTGTGTCAGCTAATTCTGGCTGAGGACTTGGCCTGTAAGTGTTTTCTGCAACAATACCAGGGCCTGGAGCAAAGCAGGGAAGATGGGTTGCTGCCTGGCGCTGGAGGGAGCGTGCTGCAGGGGTACAGTCACAGTGCTGCCCGGAGGCTTCTTGAAGGAGGTGTGAAGAACTTTGCAGAGCTAAACGACAGCATTAAGGTTGGTAAAATGTATTTGCTTATGCTGGAGGCCAGCCAGGTTTGACACTGCTGCTCCTGGGAAATCAGCCAAATTTTTTTTTGTTTTTGTTTGGTTGTTTTTTGTTTTTTTTTTTGTTATTGTTGGTTTTTTGTTTCCCTTCCCCTGTACTGCTTTTTCCACACCCCTTCTGGGGTGACAGTAAGGTACTGAAAGATGCTGCTTTCAGACAGCTGGCTGAAACGCTGGTATGGCAGCAGGGGAGGGAATGGAGTCGTGTGTGCATGCTTAGGAGTCAATATACCTTCCTGCAGCATCTTTGGCAACGCGTGCCCGGGCCAAACGTCGTCTCAGGTTAACTTGTGCTACTTGTCTAGTAGCCCTCTAAAAGGGTTACATGGCTTTGTAATCACACTAGAGATAAACAGGGTTCCCTGGGTTGTAGTATAAGCCTGTAACTGATGGTGACTGACTATGCGTAACCTTGGGCAAGTAGCTGGGCTTCCTGTGCCTGTACAGCTGGAGAGTCAGACTGCTTCCCATCTCACAGGGAGATGGTAACAGTGAACTAGCTGATACCTGAAGGTAATTAGTAGGAAGTGAAGGAATTGATGTGTCCCAGCTAAGTCTCTAGAACTTTGCTTCGCTTCATTTCCAAATTGCTTTCTAGGATTCTTCTCTGTTGGCAGTTAGCAAAGCCTAGCACAGAAACTTAAATCCTTCGAAGGTGAATACCCTCCCATCAGCTGCTGTCCCAAGGCTTTCATCTCCTTGCAGTTTTAAGTCCAAGTGTATTTTTTCCTGTTGCACAATAACTAGCAGCTGCCAGGGCACAGCCAAGTGCATTAATATAGAGTTCTGACCTGAGGAAGGAGGGCAGATATCTAAATGTGAAATCACTTTCAAACAATTTCTTTATCCCAAGCAAGCTGCATGCAAGAGATGCACTCAACTGCCCAGGCATTCCCAGCCCTGCCCAGGCCCAATTCCTGCAAAAGCTCCCACCTTTCTAGTAAACCAAGCCAAAGTCTGTATTCAAATCCCCATGCTTCAAAGCATTGAAATCAAAGTCCTTTTTTTTTCTGTTTTGCATCTACGCCTGTGGCTCACAGCCACGTTTCACTGGCAATTCCTTCAGTGCAAGCCCTGTTAAGCTCTGCTATGTCCCTGAGAGGGGTCCTTGGCCCCTGATGCACTGATTCAAGTATCATAGCACATGATCTGTGCTATCAGGTCTTCTGATGCATCTGGCTAATGGAAGTACTGGTAGTGGGAAGAGGCCAGGCTGGCAATGGGATGAGTGCTGCTAGTGGCAGTGCGGAGCTCCACCATAGAGTGCTGCCCTGTGTTGCTCTCCTCCCGTCTGGTCTGTGCCCACCTATCTTCTCAAAATGTTCATCCTGATTTGTAGGCTGCTTGGCATGGGGAAAAATCTCCATGAAACATGTGTGCAATGACTGGCACAACTGGAGCCAAAGCTTTGCTTGTCTCCATCTGCCGTTGTGTTACAAAGGATAGCAGAGTTAGAGTCATGCCAGTCCTCTGCTTGTCCCCAGAGCTGTTGCAAGATTCATGGGCACAGAAAACCCATCCCCAGTGAGTGGTGCTGGCAGGGTTATGTGGGGTAGGTAGTCCCAG